TTATGTCTTTCTATAACATCAGTTTTATCTATTTTATTAGCCCCCGCAAACTTTTAAACTCATTTTTAAATTGGCTAATTGTGTTGTATGTATATTTCTATATTATTATTTCTGCTCTTATCTTTTCCTTTCCTTCTTTGGTTAATTCTGCTGCTCATCTCTAACTCTTAAAATAGATGCTTAGTTATAAAGTTTTAATTTTCTTCTTTTCTACATACATAACTAAGACTATAAATTCCCTTTCGATACCATTTTAGATATAGCTTCAAATTTTGCTATGTACCATTTTAATATCACTCATTTCAAAATATTTAATCATTTCCCATTGATACTTTTCCACTATTTCTAGCTAATTCTACTGTGGTCAAAGATATATTCTATATACATTCTAGTCATTATCCCCCAGTTCTACCAATATTTAAGAACAGTATCACTCTAATACAACTTTTCAATCCTGTGAATTTGTTGAGACTTGCTTTATAATCAATTTTTTTATAGTTGATATTTTAAAAAGTCCATGCTTTAAAAAAGAACATGTCTGCAGTTGTTGGGGATGTTTTATTATATCAATCCTTTAGGTTAATTTGTTATCTCATTAATCTACATTGTTTTTTTTATCCTACATGCCTCTATTTCTAAGCAATGTATTTAATCTCAAATTATGATTTGTGGATCTTATACATCTCTTTATTAACAATTTATTTATCTTAGGACATTTATTACATGTATACCAAATTTGGAATAGTTATACTTTCTTTTTTTTTTTTTTGAGACAGAGTCTCGCTTTGTTGCCCAGGCTAGAGTGAGTGCCGTGGCGTCAGCCTGGCTCACAGCAACCTCAAACTCTTGGGCTGGAGCGTCCTTCTGCCTCAGCCTCCCGAGTAGCTGGGACTACAGGCATGTGCCACCATGCCGGCTAATTTTTTTTATATATATTCAAATTGGCCAATTAATTTCTTTCTATTTATAGTAGAGACGGGGTCTCGCTCTCGCTCAGGCTGTTTTGAACTCCTGACCTGAGACATCCCGCCTCTGCCCCAATACCGAACTAGGATTACAGGCGTGAGCCCACGCCTGGCAGTTATACTTTCTTATAGGATTAACCTAGATAGTTATACCTTGAACTTGAACTATGAAACAACTACTTATTTCTAGTATATTTTTTTTTTTTGGCTTTGAATTTTACTGCTGATATATATCAGTTTTCTTTTGTTTGTGTTTGCACAAATTTTTTCTAATTATCTTCCTTTTTTATTCAATATACTTTTTATACCTGAGTATTAGAATTTTTCTCTCTTTGCCTTGATTTCTGAAATTCATATACATTCATGTGAGTATTCAGTTTTCACCTTAATGACTGGACATCTCGAACCTGTGAACTGATCTTATTATCTTAGAATACTGTTAGCTAATCTTCAATTTGCCTGTGCCATTTAGTATATGTAAATTCTACGACTGTCAGCTGCTACGTAGACAATATAATAGAATAGTAAATTAATAAAGTATACATAAACCAAAAAATTCTAAACAGTAAATCTAACCCAAGAATAAGGCAAAAAAAGTTATTTTCAGACAACAAAATCTGAGACATCACTACCAACACGAACACACTAAAGGAAATTTCTAAAGGTATTCTTAAGTAGAAGGATCTTGCCAGATGTAAGATCAGTAATTACAGAAATAAGTGAAACAAAAAACCAATAACATATGTGGAGAAGTCTACATAACACTGACTATATAGACAGTAATGATGTCCTGTAGGTAAATGTGTATATATGTATGTGTCTGTGTATATAAACACACTCATACTTCTAATAGAGAAAAGAATGAAATATTTAAGCCCTATTAAATGATTACACGAATTAAAAATGGAAAAAATGCTCCAATGAAAGAAAAGTTTCATAACAGATCTTTAAATAATCAAGTATAATCTGTTATAATTATGTATAATGTATACAATGTATAATCTGTCAAAACCACACAATGTTCATCAAGAGTGAACCTTAATGAAACTATAGACTTTGGATGATAATGAGGTGTCAATCAATGCAGGTCATTGATTGTAACAAACTACCTACTCTGGTGTAGGATGTTGATAGCAGGAAAGAATGTGTGTGTGGCGCCAGGGGGTATATGTGAACTCCTGGATTTTCCTGTTCAATTCTGCTCTAAAAAATAAACTTTAAACCAATATATACTATTTACAAGAGATATGTAATTACTATTAATACTAAATAAAATATATTCTTCAATTAAATTAAAGCTGTAATAAAAATTAATTGCCTCTAAACTTCAATATATGAACTGTAAGGTAAAATATTGTTTATTTTGTAGTCATCCTCTGTGAACATGAAACATTTAGATTATCTAATAGAGATGATCAAACTTAATTTGAGCCGGGCGCTGTGGCTCACGCCTGTAATCCTAGCTCTTGGGAGGCCGAGGCAGGCGGATTGCTCAGGTCAGGAGTTCAAAACCAGCCTGAGCAAGAGCGAGACCCTCCTCTACTATAAATAGAAAGAATTAAAATGGCAACTGAATATATATTATAAAATTAGCCGGCCATATGGGCGCTGCCTGTAGTCCAGCTACTCGGGAGGCTGAGCCAGAAGGATCACTCTAGCCCAGGAGTTTGAGGTTGCTGTGAGCTAGGCTGACGCCACGGCACTCACTCTAGCCTGGACAACAAAGCGAGACTCTGTCTCAAAAAAAAAAAAAAACAAAAAACTTAATTTGATTCATTTGGATGGGTGTTACAAAAAGAAAAAAAACTGAATTTGAAAATATTTGAATTATTTAAAATATTTGAATTATATTATATTATATATATATTATATATATATATAATATTTATATATATTATAATATATATTTGATATTATATTTTATATATATATTTAATATTAATACTTTTGTTATTAGAATAAAATATTGATAAAAATGTATTAATGAAAAAATTAATGGAAAAATCAATGCAAGGATCCTTAGACTTATCCAGAAATAATATCAGCTATCTAAACTATTTCTACTGAATAAAAAAAATCTTTGTGACTAAAATTAGAAACTACTACCTGAAGAACTGAATGACTCTTGCTAGTAGTTAAAAATAAATTAAGAGCTCACAACCATGCAAGTATGTCATTAACTGAGTGGATCATGATGTTGTGACTGAAGAGACAGAAAGTACTATGGCAATACCTCCAAGTGATAATTAACTCCTATCCTTTAGTGGTTAAGGAAAAGCTTTCAGAAGGCAGTATATAGGACTTAAAAGATGATCAGAAATTAATATAATGGAGAGTTTGAAAGTTGGCAGTGAGGGGGAGGTACTAGTCAATGCCAAAGATGAAGCTAGACAGGTGAGAAAGAGCCAGATCAAAATTGCTTTATAACCCATATTAAAACTTTTGGATTATATCATTCAAGTAATGGAGAGCTCTGTTAGGGCTATAAAAAGAAAGAAAGGACCATATTTTTATTTCAGAAAAATGAGTCTCATTGCAACATGAAAATGGACTGCAGGAAAAAACCAAAGTTGCATGGGGAAATGAATGAAAAAGTAACCCAAATAAGAGAGAGCAATAGGTCAGTGCTGTGCCTCACACCTGTAATCCTAGCACTTTGGGAGCCTGAGGTGGGAGGATCACTTGAACCTTAGGAGTTCGAGACAGCCTGAGCAAGAGTGAGATCCCATCTCTACAAAAACCAGAAAAATCAGCAGGGTGTTGTGGTGTGCACCTGTAGTCCCAGCTACTCATGAGGCTGAGGCAGGAGGACCACTTGAGCTCAGAAGTAGGAGCTTGTAATGAGCTATGATGACGCTACTGCACTCTACCCAGGGCAACAAAGTGAGACTCCGTCTCCCCAAAAAAAAAAAATGCAGTAACTTGAGTTAGAATGGTGCCATGGTGTCAGTGGAAACTTTATCATAAAGGATAAATGGACAGTTTTGATATCTTAGAAGGACTGGGTATCTATACGGGTGCAGTTAAAGCTAATACACACTTCAATACAACCACTCACCTACCCACCCATTTGCTCTTGTTTGTTTTTTCTTAAGCAACAAAGTTAATTTACTGATCTACGAAAAGTACAGTTTTTTTTAAAATAACTATAGCCAAATGTTTTATTTGCAACTTACAATTAAATTTCTTACAAGCACAAGAAAATTAGGAAAGGCTTGAAGAAGGAAGCAGATTTTGAGATGGACTTTTGAAAGATAAAATTATCACAACCTACTCACTAATGGATTAAGAAAGATCAATGAAATCTATACCTAAAATGTTAAGGGTGACAATCAGAATCCTTGCATATGAAAAGATGGTAGTATCGCTCACTAATAGAACACGGGAAAGGTATGTGTATATAGAGACTGAAGAGGGAAAGACAACAGTAAATACAGGGTTTTTGTTTTTTTTTCTTAAGTAATACAGTTTTGAACAGGCTGCATTAGAGGTTCCTATGAGGCATTTAAGTACTGATATCAACTAAGCAGGGATATGACATTCAAGATTGAGATGGAAGTATCTGATACCCGAGAGAAAAGTGGGCTGGAAATAGTAGTTTGGATGTCAGCAGGACATATATGGTAACAGAAACCCTGAGAATAGATAATATTCAAGGAGAATATGTAGAGTGTGAAATAAGATGGCCTAGGATATATTCCTAAAAATTACCCACATTTTATAGATTAGGAAGTAAATGATGTCCATCGAAGAGATAAAGAAGATGCTGCCTGATACTAAGTCAAGGGAGCTTTTTAGAAAAAATAAGTCAACAATATTTAATGCAGCCAAGTAAGTTAAAGACGTAAATGTTATGGCATAAAAAGGTAAAATTCAAATATATGGGGGCTTATTAATTTAGAGCTAAATTTCCAATACTGGCCATAACTACTTTTTGCTATTTAAGTATTAATTTAATTATAAATAAAATCCATTATTAACATTCATGCTCACTGGCAACAATTTTTAGAAAGGAAAATTTAAATGGAGGCTTACAGTTGTGGCAAATTTGGTCTAACAAAGGGATCATTTTCTGCTCCATTGACTGCTTTGTTTTTCCTTTGTTTTGGTTCAGAATTGGTAGAGGGTGCCTGAGAATTATTAGCTGTAGGAGGTTTGCGTTTAGCTAGAAGTTTCCTTTGCCTTTCAATATCTTCCCTTTGCTGATTCACCCATTCTTGTTGCCTGTATAAAAATAAACAAAAACATATTAACCTTCCATTACTTTTCACAGTTAAAACGGGGGAAATGCATTAAAAAAACACAAAAAATCATATAATATAAACTTGTAACCTTTTAGTTCCACTCTTGTCAACCAATTTGTACTTCTTCAGGTCTCACTCGAAACAATAATTTTTAAATGAGATGCTCCCTAAATCTCTGGACTAGGAAAGATGTGTTGGCATATACAATCTCACAGTGTCTTGTTATCTCCCCACCTTCTCTTTTCTAACAAATGTCATTCCTACAGATACTTAATCAGAGTATGTCTAATTAGATTTATATCATTCCCTAAAAACAGAAACCATATCTATTTTATCCTATTGTACCCTTAGTAGCTAGCACAGTGATCATACTAGGTACTCAATAAACAGTTGCTGAATGAAATAAAAGAATGAGCTAAAAAAATAATAATAATAAAAAAAGAACTAACAAAAGTCTGGGGTATATTTTACACATGTATCTCATCACTTAGTATTTGCAGACAAGCTTATAAAAGGCAAGTAGGAATTTAATATGAAAAGTGTTATTTTCTAAATCTACCTCTGTTAAAAAGAAATTTGGGGAATGAGCAGTTGATATTTTGAAATGAAACCAAAATTGATCTTATAAGAAATGGATGAGGAAAAAAGAATTCTGACAACTTAAGGAAAAGAAACAAGAAAACAGCAAGAAAATTTGCTCAGCTTTCAAAAATGCGCAATTAAAGTCCAATTCAAGAAGCTTACACAATTTTGCAAATAGTTCACTTACTCTAAAACTAATAGATATCATGTCTATTATTAAAATTTAGGTTGAAGATTTTAGCAGTTTGACCAGAGCCTTAAGTAATAGCCAAGCTTTTTAAAACTAACCCATGTACAATACCTTAAACTTGCTCTCACAGTAACCATGTTCCCTTTTAGGTCATCTAACCATGCCAAGAAAAAAATTTAAAATCCTATATGGGGCCGGGCGTGGTGGCTCACGCCTGTAATCCTAGCACTTTGGGAGGCCGAGGCAGGCGGACTGCTCAAGGTCAGGAGTTCGAAACCAGCCTGAGCGAGACCCTGTCTCTACCAAAAATAGAAATAAATTAATTGACCAACTAAAAATATATATACAAAAAATTAGCCGGGCATGGTGGCGTATGCCTGTAGTCTCGGCTACTCGGGAGGCTGAGGCAGTAGGATCGCTGAGCCCCGAGATTGAGGTTGCTGTGAGCCAGGCTGACGCCACAGCACTCACTCTAGCCTGGGCAACAAAGTGAGACTCTGTCTCAAAAAAAAAAAAAAATCCTATATGGTTATATTTAGATTTAGAATAAGTCAAATGTCTCATTCTTTCATCTCCACCCACCCCTTTCAAACTCTGCTGATAAAGAACTGGCCTTACATACATTCCTTTCCCTATGGTTCTAGGAGGGAGTAGCAGAATGATAAGAGTGACAAAAATTAAGAACCATCTACACAGAAGGGCAAAAGGGTAGAGAAAAAGTCTAAGAATAGCACAGTGAGAGCAAGACTTTAATCTAGTTTTCATTTGGAAGTGGGAATAAATAATTTCAATTATTAAAAAAGTAAATTTCAAGACTATTTTAGAGCACAATCAAGATGCTATAATAAATAACAATAACTCTAATGATTAGAATACTAATGGAAAATAAAGAATTACTGGAATAGATATGTAGCTAATACCTGATTATTCAGGAATGACCATACAGTTGAGATTATTAATATTATTAACTTTTATTTATTCATTTCTCTTCTTATCCTCTAACCACTTTGGGTTATATCACTGATTATAAAATAAATATATGTAACAACACAGAGCAGTACTCTTCTCCTGTTCTCTACTTTTCTGTCCATATTTTAGCTTAAGCTTTAATCACCTTTCATCTGGATACTTCTCTCCATTTAACTGTCAACAATTTATCCTCTAATATTATTTCCACATTACCATCATAATTATTATGCAATTCAATTCTGATTATACACACTATATACAAACCTTTATCAGTCTCCATTATTCACAGAATTAAAACCCAAACTCCGTATTAGCACAAGGACACTGTCCTTCATTATGGTATACCTACACTTAGCATAGCTGTGTTGAACAACAGCAAATAAATCTGCTGGGGGGGGGCATTCTGTGGCAAGTCCTGGGAACTAGTGTTGGAACAGCAATGGTGATGTGATACCATGTGAAATAAGGCTTTGCTTCCACTTCAAATAACTGAAGTGACTCTGGGAAAGCTGACGTAGATGTTGGCACTACTCCTGATTTTCGGGTTTTTACAAATTTCCCAGCAAAAAAAAAAAAGAGAGCAGCATAGGTCCTGGCTTCTTAACACATAAACAGCTAGCCAACCTTTACCTACTACCATTTGAACTCAAGAAAATATGGTAACAATGATTTCTTTTTTTTTAAGTTTATTACAGAAATGCTAAAGCCACATATTCAGTTGAACTGATTTCTGATTTACTATATGTGAGGCAAAAAAAGTTCTTTTCCTTACAAATAGAGAGTAGACAAGTGCTAAATGTTAACAAACAAGGATTGGGGAATGAGGAAAAAACTAAGTAGAAAAAACCCAGGAGAGAGAGAGAGAGAGAGAGAGAGAGAGAGAGAGAGACCCCAACCCCCCCACCTTCCAATGAAAATTAAATTTTTAATAATTCTCTTCCCAAAATATCATCTATAAAGCTAGAGGTTCAGTTTATATTTTGGAAAGTTTGATTTAGAATAACACATTATCCTACATAGACGAATGCTAATTAATCAAGAAGTCTGCTAAAGCTAAAACTGTAATACCTCTATTTCATATTCCTTTCAAATGTACTAAATTCTATGATTTCAAAGAATAGTGAGGAGGAGATGTAGAATATAATCCCAAATCTATAATCTTTTAAAGTAATGAAAACCCAAATGAATACTAAATTTTTTAAACGTAAGAATGACTAACTTCACGAGATTCTGAAATGCAAAACCATCTGTCCACTGTTCAGTAAATGAAGCGCCATGTCTAACTGTTGTAAAGTGCCCAAGGCGTAATCTATCTTGCATACTCTTTTCTCTGCTTGACAGTTTTTCTTGTGTACTCTGAAAAAAGAAGGAAAAAAAATCATCAATTTTATTCATTTAAATTTTAAAAACGTACAAGGCAAAAGGGGCTAGTAAAGAGGAATGGAAAACTTACTAAACTTTTAACTTACCTTTTCAATAAGAAGTTTCTTGCTCATTGATATGCATTTATTTAATCGTTCTTTGTATTTTTCAAGTAATTTTTGTTGTTCATCTATTTGCCGTCTGAGATCACAGTTAGCCTAAAACATAAGCAGAAAATGCAGAAAGTCTAGAATTTCTATATATGAAAAGCTGAGAAATATTTTAATGTTTTGATAAATTATATACACATAGGATTAATAATATCAAATATTTAAGTATGATACTAAAAATAAAAAGCCTACTTACTATGGGATAATACTGTTAAATGTTACTTAACTGTGCAGTGGAAAGTACATGGAATTTGTATCCATGTTCCATATATTCCAATCCATACTCTATCTCTTAAAACTAACAAAACATTTTCACCATTAAACTTGTGGATGAGCCTGTAAGTTGCCTAGCTAATAACTAACTCTCTCCATCATTCTTCCTAGGCAACAGGATATCAATTCTGTTCACTCTGCTCAGGGAAGAGGCCTCTCTCTAACCTCAGAATTAGTCTAGTAGAGTGGCAAGAGATTGCTGGGACCCATCCCCAGAGTTTCCAGGTCAGTATGTCTGGGAAAGGTCTGACAATTTCCATTTCTAACAATTTCTCCAGTAATATTGATGTTTCTGCTCTGAGATCATACTTTGAGAATCACAGGTCTAGGCCAATCATGGTGGAATCCAAAGACAAGGGCATAATATCTTGAAAGTGCTGGGAAAAAACAACTATCAATCTAAAATTATATATTCAATAAAACTATTTTTCAAGGAAGAGGAAATAGAATTTATCATCAACAGATCTTCATCATTAAGTGTAATTCAAACAGAAGCCCAAACTGTGTGTGTGTGGTATGTATGCGTGTAACTTGGAAAACTGACTCCAACATTTCTCTAAAATTGCAAAGGGCCAAAAATAGACAAAATGAAGGAGAGGATACTTGTCTAACTATATGTCACAACTTAATGTAAAGCTACAGTAATTATGATCATCCAAATCCCCTTTTTCCTTAATAATGGAAATTCCATGTTTTATTCTGGATTGATATTGTGCCTAACTAAAAGACTATATTTCCTAGTTTCCCTGGCAACCGTAAGAATGATCAATGAGAGATATAAGCAAAAGTTGTTCAGTGGGACATTCAATAGGCTGCATATACAATTACTGTGCTTTTTCTTCTTCCCCTCTTCCTCCTGTTTTCTGCTTAGAATGCACACATCATAATTGTGATTCAAACAGATATATTGGACTTTGATGTGACCTTTTAAGATGGAAGCCATGAACTAAGGATGAAGCCATAGGGAAAACTGAAGGTACCAATGGTACCTACGACACTGTGGAACAATCATACCTGGGCTGCCCTCTTCTGTTCTCTTGAAAAATAAACACTTATCTCATTTAAAGTACTGCTGTTTATGTTCTCTGCTACTAATGGCCAAAGGCAATTGCTAAATGATAAAAAGATGCTGTAGTACCAGTGCAGAGACACATAAATACAACAATAGAACATGATACAGAACATAGAAATAGATCCAGCTGTAAATATAAATAAGATTTTATGATGGAGTTGGCAGTTAAGACTGAACTGTTAATAAAATGGGGCTGGACAACTGGTTATCCATACAGAAAGAAATTAAAATGAAATCCTACTTCACATCATACTCAAAAACCAATTCCAGTGAGATTAACAATCAGACTATAAACTTTTAACAGAATATACAGAACATTTTTACAATCTTAAGAGTTAAAAATAATTAATTCTTTTGACGTATCTTTGCTAATAATTTAGTATAAGCAACACAAACTATAAACAAAAATATCTATTTAATCATATAAAAATTAAAAATGTCTAATCATCAAAAGACAGCATGAAGAAATGAAAAGACAACTCATAAACTGGGAGTAAATCAAGATATATAACCAATAATGATATCAATAAGAAAAAGACAATCCAATAAGCAAAATGGGCAAAAAACAGTTATTTCACAGAAGAAACACAAATAGTTAATAAATATTTTAAAATATGCTCACAACCAATTAGTAAATACGGAATGCATAATAAAACCACAAGACACTATATTATATCCATCAGATCAGCCAAAAAAATTTTTTTAAAAAGAAAATCTTATAATACCAAGCCCTGGCAAGGAAGATGAGTGATAGGATTTTTTTCTGGCCCACTGCTGTTGAGAGTATAAATTGATCCAAATACTTCAGGAGAAATCTGATACCATAGAGTAAAGTGAAAGATGTCCATTCCCTGTACTTTGGCCATGTCTTTCCTAAGCATATACTACAGAGAAATTATTTCATCTTTGCCCTAGAAGACATGTACAAGAATGTTCTTTTTTTTTTTTTTAGACAGAATCTTGTTTTGTTGCCCAGGCTAGAGTGAGTGCCGTGGCATCAGCCTAGCTCACAGCAACCTCAATCTCCTGGGCTCAGGCAATCCTTTTGCCTCAGCCTCCAGAGTAGCTGGGACTACAGGCACGTGCCACCATGCCCAGCTAATTTTTTCTAGATATATTAGTTGGCCAATTAATATTTTTCTATTTATAGTAGAGACGGGGTCTCACTCTTGTTCAGGCTGGTTTCAAATTCATGACCTAGAGTAATCCACCTGCCTCAGCCTCCCAGAGTGCTAGGATTACAGGTGTGAGCCACCATGCCCGCAAAGAATGTTCTTCCATCTGGGGGATGGTCATGCTGGAAACTCAGACTTGTGGGGGGAGAAGGGGAAAGGGCATTTATTGAAACCTTAAAATCTGTACCCCTATAATATGCCGAAAAAAAATGTTCTTATATACATATGCTGTCTTACTACTTAGCAGTGAAATGAACAAACTATAGTTATTCTCATCAATGTGGGTGACTCTCACATATAACGCTCAGTAAAAACAAGCAAGGCAAAAGGGTCCATACAGGATAATTTCACTTAAATGAAGTTGAGAAACAAACTAAATAATATGTTGTTAAGAATGTATAAACATAATTAATATAAACGTACAGAAACATTAAGGAATGATAATAGAATAGTGGTTAAAGGTAAAGGGATACGAAAGAGTAACTGGGATGGGATCAGAAAAGACACACTGGATGTTTCAAAGGTACTGGTAAGTCTGGCAAGATCACATGTGTTGGTTTTATTGCGTTTCTGAATCAATGGTTCTCAATGTTGGCTTAAATTAGAATCATAGGGAGGAGCTTTTAAAATTACCAATGCCCAAGACCTACATCATATCAACTTGATCAGAACCCCTCAGTGTTCAGGGATTAGCACTTCCACCCTTTCCATCTGGTGATTCTAAGGAGCAGCAAGGGGTAAGAACTATTGCTTTATACCTTACTCACATTATAATCATACTTCTAGATGTATTCTTTAGTAAAGTTTCCATTAAAAGTCTCATAGATCACAGCAGTTACTTTATCCTTTATAGTATCAGATGTCAGGCGTATAACAAAATCAATTAACTTTAAACTAACATGAAATGGCTCTTATGGTAGCTATAAATTTTATAAACTTCCTTCTAGTTTCGCCAACTGTTTCTAAATTTACATTTAAAGATCTAATAAAATATTTTCACTTTAAAGTTGGCATTTTCAATTATGTATTTCCACTAACAGAAAAAAAGCTTACTGTTTTCCAACTACAGATTTTTTTTTACAATGGTATTTCTTCAACAGTTTCACTGTTGCCAAATAACTCATTCAATTTTTTTCTGTCTGTGAGTTATTACTTACCCTGAGCAAATCATCTATACGACCTTCCTTCTTTTCCAGGTCCTGGTTTTTATTACTTTCTAATGCTGCTAATTTCAGCATTGTGAGATCAGTCTAAATGAAAGAAAGCTATTTTATTATCTCCATTATATATGTTGTTGCATGTAAACATAAAACTAGAACTATGTACATTTGTATGTATATATAAAGTGTATTCCAAAAACTCTCAGTGCAGTTTTAAAAGGACATTTTAAAAGTATATCTAAGAAGTACAAATGCTACAAACTTGCCAATATTTAAAGAGGTTAATTATTTAGAATACTGATGTTTCTCATTAAAATGTAATATATCCACTACTTTGTGCTATATATCACTCTAGTTTATCTTTGAACTTTGCTAAACCTTTTTAAAATTATTTTTAAATTGACAAGTAAAAATTGTATATATTTATGGTGTACGACATGATGTTTTGAGATATATACACATTGTGGCATGGCTAAATCAAGTTATTTAACACATACCTATCCTTTTTTGTGGTGTGAACATTTAAAATCTACTCTTAGCAATTTTCATATATATAATATTAACTGTAGTCACCATGATGTACAATAGATCCCTTGAAATTATTCCTCATCTAACAGAAATTTTGTGTTCTTTTACCAATATCCCATGCATCAAAACCTTCATGAGCTGCTCTGTGACTTTGTAATCCTAGCCTCGGAATCATTCAAACAAAAGAGGTTTTGGTACATGCATAACAGTTTGGACATGACCCCACAAATAAAGTCTAATGGCAATAAATTGGCAAGTTGAGTTGGTCAAGCAACAGGATCTATTGTCCCAATCCCCAGTTTGAGAAAAAGTGTCACCCAGAAACTATCACATGTAAAAAATTAAAATGAAAACTTAGTACTCAAAATTCATGAAAGTAAATAAGTTCAAATGATATCCAAATTCAATTTTCAAATTATCTAATTTACAGCACATATATACACATTCATAAATACAGATACTCAAATGAATTATTTTAATGTCCACTTATATAACAAATATAACAGCCTCACAAAGACATCAATTATATATATGTGGATATTAAACTCTGATTATTTGACTTGCTTACAATATGTAAATATTTGCCAGTGTGTAACAAGGGAGAAGCTGGCAGTAAATTGGGTGTTTCAATTTCTCACCCCTCCCTATAAATTCTGGGGTTTTTTTTGTTAAGTTAGCTTTCTTTATGTATAATTTTGCTTTATATCTAAGACAAACAATAGAATCTTAGTTTTTAATTACACAACTAAGTTGTCCAACCAAAGTTGGACAGTGGTTTTCTTAGAAGTCATAGAAAAAAATTTTAATTAATATTTACCTGAGTAATTTTAAAAGATAACTGCTTTGGTTGTATAATAGGGTGGTCCCCAAAAGCTAATGCAGTAGGAGAAGGGCTATTCGGTCGAACCTAAAATAATATATTAAAATTTTTATGCTAGCAAGAAAAAAAAATAGGTTTCCACTTAGCAACAATTACTTAAACATTTCTGAAGAAGTTTCTATCTGGATAATACCTGAATTGAAACATAATTGATTTTGAAACAAAACTATTAAAAACCAATTACGATAGTTCAAAAAGTAAAAATAAAAAAGATGTTAATACAGAATCTTAGTACTAGGGAAAATAATGCATGCCCATATGTAGTTTAATATCAATTTACTGATGAGTTTCATTGTTTATCTGATCACTAGTTTAGAAATATACTCATTAAAAGCAGCAGAATGCAACACTGTATCAATGGTATCAATCACTACAACTCTTTACCTAAAATTACTGTTGAATCAATCCTATGCCTTCCTTTGTATACACCAACAGAGACATGATGTGCCTGAAGTTACAAAACAAGTAAGACACAACCAAGTGTGTCTATAGACAAGGACTGGAAAGGGACAAAAGAAATGAAAATAGGGTGCTTGAAAAAAAGAAGTGCAACTCTAATTTTTAAAAATCTTTAGTTCATGTGTAAATTACTGAAAAACAGTATTGTTTTTCTGGTTAGATATTTAACTTGTACACAATGAAAGTAAATTTAAAAATGAATCCGCTGTTTATATGCAAAGCGATGCATATAAAAGATCTTAAAATTGGCCGGGCGCTGTGGCTCACGCCTGTAATCCTAGCTCTTGGGAGGCCGAGGCGGGCGGATTGCTCAAGGTCAGGAGTTCAAAACCAGCCTGAGCAAGAGCGAGACCCCGTCTCTACTATAAATAGAAAGAAATTAATTGGCCAACTGATATATATATAAAAAAAAATCAGCCGGGCATGGTGGCGCATGCCTGTAGTCCCAGCTACCCGGGAGGCTGAGGCAGAAGGATCACTCGAGCCCAGGAGTTTGAGGTTGCTGTGAGCTAGGACGCCACGGCACTCACTCTAGCCTGGGCAACAAAGGGAGACTCTGTCTCAAAAAAAAAAAAAAAAAAAAAAAAAAAGATCTTAAAATGTTAGAAACAAACCAAAAAGTTATAAGGTAATTTTTAGGACCAAGATTTAAGGATTCCCAGGAAAAAAACTGTGTTATTTTAGTGCTTAAGAAATTTAATTGGTGGCCGGGCATGGTAGCTCATGCCTGTAATCCTAGCACTATGGGAGGCCGAGGCGGGCAGATAGTTTGAGCTCAGGAGTTTGAGACCAGCCTGAGCCAGAGCGAGACCCCGTCTCTACTAAAAAAATAGAAAGAAATTTGCTGGACAACTTAAAGTATACATATAAAACATTAGCTGGGCGTGTGTGCCTGTAGTCCCAGCTACTCGGGAGGCTGAGACAGGAAGATCACTTGAGCACAGGAGTTTGAGGTTGCTGTGAGCTAGGCTAATGCCATGGCACTCTAGCCCAGGCAACAGAGTAAGACTCTGTCTCAAAAAAATAAAATGAAAAGAAATTTAATTGGTAAGAAAGTTAGAAATTAGGAATCAATAACTGACTTAGGACTGACACAAGAGTATTCATGTTAGCCCTACAGGCTCAACAGCCTTCTTTTGCAAAAATGACTGTTAGATATAATTAATTCAGAAAATAATTAATTCAGAAAATCTTTAAGAAGCTTACTTTCAGAAATAAAGTTCTAACAGTGTCAAATTAAAAAGGATTCAACTCACCTCACAGAAATGATTTTTTAAAAGATAAACACTAATTGATATAGAAATTCTCACTAAAGACAACAAGCTTTAAAAGTTATTCAATGTATATAACCTCCCAAAGAATATCCATGAAAAACTTGAAAGATATTAATAAAAACTTACAGATGAGGAAGGAGTGGAATGTGAATGTGAATTTTGAGGAGAACGGATTGCAGGAGGTATGCCTCTTACTGGACTTGAGCCATTTCCACCTTGATACTGAGAAAAAGAAAAAGAAAACATCATTATTTATTAAAGCAGGTTTAGACAGTTGTTATATTAGACATGGCATTAAGAATTAATTTAAATATCTTATTTTAAATTAAATCAAATAGTCATTTAAATGGTTCCAGAAAAAGCAAAACTAAGTTCAGTTATAGCCAAGTCCTAAAACATCAACAAGAAGAGTACTGATCACAAAAACATGATGAGGCTACATTTTATAAAGATCCTTATTACATTGCATTCTGAGTACAATTTGTTACTGTGGCCGACTCTAAGAGAAATAAATTCCCCAAATGAACTTTCTGTTTTTCTCCCAAATCTTAGCACAATTTCCCTATACATGTTTCTTGAGCCAATATGGTCTCTAATCCCAAAAAACTTAAAATTTATTTACACATAGATATTTGTAAACATAAACAACTATCTTAAACAGAATCTTCACTCTCAAGATCTGTTAAATATCCAAATGTACACTGCATTGTATGAAAGAGTTTACAGAATAATTCCCTTCACTCTAATAGGACAAAATCTTTTAAAAAATCAATTATTTCTTACAAAATATGTGATTTAGCTGCACATGAAGAGAAGCCAACTAATCTGTTCCATAGATACCTTTTCTCCTATCTCATGTTCCTACTAAGGATGGGAAAAGAAAACAATTTGCTGCTGTCTTCCTCAGGGGGTATAGTTTATTGTCTACTTCATCATTTTTTGTTTAATTAACTTCGACACCAACAGCAGAGATGTAGTGCTTTCAGCATGTTCATTTATTAAAAACTTCCCACAACCCAAAGATTTTGCCTCATATATTTCATTTATAGAGTGCCTAACATAACATCTGGCACATAGTAAGCATTCAAGAGATATTTGTCTATTCAAACTGATCTTACCTTTGGCAAAGGTTCTTAATGATATTAAAAACAAGTGACTGACCTCAAGTAAAGAGCATTAGGTATCTAGTGGTCAGCAACAATTTTACCTTAGAAAACATTACCCAAGAAAAAAAGCAATGGAGGATTTTAAAAATTATTTTAAAATTCAGCCCTTCTGCTATGCAGCCAATTCTGGTTTCAATCTAAAGTAAATATAAGTATTTTTCAATTGAGTAGATTATGTTTGTTGTTTTAAAAATCACATTCATTTTTTTCTAATGTAAAACTGCTAGCCAAAAGTGTTTCTATGTAGAAGCACGGAAACACTCCTGAATGTTACTCTTGGGTAAGAATCTAAATTTACCACTCTTTACTGTTTTCAGAGACTCTTAGATTCACATCTTTATCAATTATTTAATCCCCACCCACAGGACTCAAATGTTGCTGAGGTGTGATAAAGCTTGTATTGACAGTAGAAAGAATTCTGAACTAGAGAGCTGGTAGACTTTAAGTTCCATTCTTTACTATTTAAAAGTTGACTTTAGGTAGGCTACTTTATATTTCTGGTACTCTGTTTCATTGTCTGTAAAACAGAAACATTAACACCTACTTTGATTATCTTAGGTTGTTATAAGCAAATATGTGAGGAAGTACTTTGAAATTTATGATGTGCCATACCAATGTAAAGGTAAATTTTAAGGTTCCCAAGGAAGAAAGGATATAACATGACTTGACTAAAGCTCTGCTCTAATCAAGCAGATAATCAAAAGTTGACCTTGTGCTTCAAAGAAATTATTTGTAACTCTCAGCAGAATTATATTGAATTAGGAACTGGAGATAATTCTCAATGAACTTACTTCAAAATAGTCACTAATTTTGTGGCCACGTACCCCAATACTTTTTCCTAAAATACAAAAAGCATATGATATGTTAGTAGGGTAGTGATGAACATCAAAAACATATTAAGAATCCTCAGAAGATCAGATACCAATTTCAGAAATCCAAAAATCAAATGACATTTCAAGAGAAACATGCCAATTTTTAAAAGTCCCAATTATTGGAGAATCAGATAAACAACATTATGGACCTACTATTTTAAAACTATATTATTAATATTGCTTAGTAACTACTAATTTCAGAAAAGGAAATCAATAAATAAAAAAGACAAATGGCACCTGCATAACTCAAACACTACCTCTTACCTGTAAAGCTTTGGTTAATACAAACCATAACATGATCCCTGTCAAACTCACAATAACATGCTTCACTATGAATGTTATTTTATAAAATGTGCTTTGATTTTCTAAAAAGCATTTCCAAATTAATAAGATACATTTTAATAAGCTATATTTCAAATATTGTTTTTATATGACCATACTGATGGAGTGAACTAGGTCATTACAGATCATATTGTTCTTTAATTAAATATTCTGCTCTCAGATGGACTCTGATGCAGTTTTTTAATTTTTTGAGACAGAATCTTCCTCTGTTTCCCAGGCTAGAGTACCATATTGTCAGCCTAACTCATAGCAACTTCAAACTTCTGGGCTCGAGCGTTCTGCCTTGGCCTCCCAGCGTGCTAGGATTACAGGCATGAGACACCACACCTGGCCTGATACATTTTTCAAATACTGAATTAAGAACCTGCTAAGAAAATACAGTGTATAGAGATGCTTTTTGAGGGAAAGGCAATCATCCTTGATTACAACCATATAGAATACATCACTTCTTCAAGTTATAATAGAAAAACTAATAATATCATGGAGTCAAAAGCTTTGTATAATACAGACATACATACTTTATCCATTCAATACTGACTTATATTCATGCATTTATTTATTTTTATTCAACAAGTATTTCTTAAGTGGTTACTATGTGCGAAGAACTACTGAGATGAACAAACAGTACACTTAAAAGTTCAACAACTTTAAATTCTTCTTGGAATAAGGTAGAAGGATTTTTTTTAAATCCAAACAAGTACTCAGGACTATAAATGCTACCTAAAAATTTTGAACAATGGTTTCGTACAGATTTAGAGATCAGAGAAGACTGGAAAGGTTTCATACCAAAGGAACTTCCCTTCTATCTATAATAATTTCCCTGCAGATTCTGAGAAAGTGCTATCTTTTAGTGAAGACAGAGATGTTTTTGGCTGCCTACCCAGAAGCTATTTCCCCAATTCTTTTTCTCCAACTAAACTCTAATTTTGTTGTGTTAAAAACACAACAAAACCCCCAACCCCGATATAGCACCTGTAGCTCCAGAGCAAGCTGACTCCTAGACAGCCCCCACTCTCAGTTCCCTTTCCCTCCTTACCAGAAATCCAATGTTGTTCAGGTATCATCCTTCTCCACACAGCCTGTATTTTTTTTTTAAGCATATTAAGGGGGTACCAATGTTCAGGTTACGTATATTGCCCTTGCCCCACCCGAGTCAGAGCTTCAAGTATGTCCATCCCCCAGATGGTGCATACTGCACCCATTAGGTGTGTATATACCCATCCTCTCCCCCCGCTCCCATCTGTCCAACACCCGATGAATGTTATTACTATATGTGTACTTAAATGTTGATCAGTTAATACCAATTTGATGGTGAGTACATGTGGTGCTTATTTTTCCATTCTTGGGATACTTCACTTAGTAGAACGGGTTCCAGCTCTATCCAGACTAATACAAGAAGTGCTATATTACCATTGTTTTTTGGCTGATAGAACTTCATGGTACACATATACTACACTTTATTAATCCACTCATGTATTGATGGGCACTTGGGTTGTTTCCACATCTTTGCAACTGTGAACTGTGCTGCTATAGCCTGTACTTTTAAGAGAACCTTTATCGCATTTTCAATTCCAAAGATGGGCCTGATTTTTGTAAGGGAAATAATACCTCTGTTGGACATAACTGGTTTTGGAATGGACATATAACCCAATCTGGACCATAAGATGATAGGAGAGGTTTGCTTTGGGCTTGAAGAAGCTTACTCCAAAGATAGTGTGTGTGTTTGTGTGTGTGTGTGTGGGGGGGTGACACAGAAAGCCAGTCTCTCTCTAAAACAACTTAGGTGAGGAAGCAGAAATTTTAGTGTAAATCCAATTTAGGTAACCATCCTAAAAGCAGAAGAAAATCAGACAATTCTGTGGATGGCAGACCACACGTTAGTATTTAAGAAAGGTTGGATCAACCAACCCCAAAGCCCCACCCTATTTATAGGCTTGCTTTTGAGTTTATCTGCAGATGAAACTATAGCAATTAATGTATCTTTATAATAAGTAAAGCTCCAAGTCCATTAATTACAACTTGAGGGAACTGTATTAAGACCAAAAAGCAGCTCAGTGCAAATCAAGAGACAAAGTACTACATACCTAGAGAAAATGTCCTAAAATGACTTAACCCCTTCTTTTCGCAAAGTCATTTATATTCCTTGATTCCAGTGCCATATAAAACCCGGTAAGACATGGCCCTAGATCTTATGGCTAAACAATGACTTCAATACATATAACATTTTGTATAAAATCATCAATATACATGTTTTAAGAGCCCAATTTATTATCTTTAATTTTGAGTGCCCAAATTAAATGAAAGTACTATTTTGCTGTCCATTATGAGAGATTTTATAGTTTAATGAAAATAATTTTCTTAGCTCTTATCACAAAAGAGTGGTATGCCAGAAAGGATAAAGAATAAGTATGGAAAGAAAAAGATGGTGCTTTAATTAGAGTCTCTCTCATTTTTACATAGGCCTTTAAAAAAAAAAAGGAGAAGTTTGGGCACTTCTTTAAAAGAGAGATTTAAAGTTTTTATTCAAGAACAAGAAGCCATTTCAATACCATAATTCATATAAAGAAAGAAAAATGATGCTTCTCGGATTTGGACATGATATTAGTCTTTCTAGGACCCAAATAAAAAATTGAGAGAAATGTCCAAATGCCTAAAAACAGTAATTGTACACTAACTGCCTATGTGTATAGAAAGACTACAATTTCATATTATTATTTAACAATCAGAATATTAATTGGTTAAAAAATCAGAAAAATTAATTGTAAATGTCTCCTGGGCTCTGAAGGAAGATACTGTTTGCTTACCCTGACTACTTTCATTCTGGTTTTCTGCTTTTCTCTTTCTTCCCCTGGATGACTCCGATTGTTTCTTCTCTGGTGTCTACGGAAAGCAAGATAACAAATTTTTAAATTATAATTTTAATATACAAAATTCCAATTAATATAAAAAATTTTCAAGGCCAAATAGTACTAAATAGTGCTCACAAGATATGAATATATAGTTATTTACATAGAATTTATTTTAAAAACAAAATTTTCTATTGTATAAATTTTTAAAATTCCAAGTATAGAAGATGCTGTACATATTACCTGAAATTCCGCATTTTCAGAATTTGACTTGAAGTAGATGAGAAATCTGAGAGTAATTAGCCTTTATAAGATGCCCTTCAAATTCTTAACTGGATAGAACCCCAACGCCCCCCAAAAAGAATCACATTAAGTTTTTCTTACTCGTTTTCTACTACTCAAACACAGAGTATAAAACTAAACTTTGGGCTAGGTGAGATGGCTTATGCCTATTATCCTAGCACTCGCAAGGCCAAGACAGGAGGATCACTTGAGGTTAGGAGTTTGAGACCAGCCTGAGCAAGAGCGAGACCCCATCTCCACAAAAAAATAGAAAAATAGGCCAGCGTAGAGGCCTATTTTTAACTCCTAAGTAACAACCAGTTACTTAGGAGGCTGAGGCAGGAGGACTGCTTGAGCCCCCAGTGAGCTATGATGATGCCACTGCATTCTAGCCCAGGCAACAGAGTGAGACCCTGTCTCAAACAAAACAAAACAAAACAAAACACCTAAGTTTTGATTAGAAAAAAGGGGTAGAACACAAACCCTGATCCTACTAAAAAAGACTGTTCATCTAAATGCCTGATAATCACTATCCAACAATCGCAGTAAATTCACAGGTTATGCCCTAGATTGGGTGTTACCAAACTAAGGCCCATGAGCCAAATCTGTTTGGCCACTTGTTTTATATCACCTAACCATAGCTTTTACATTTTTAAATGTATGAAATTTTAAAATTCAAAACAAAAATATTTTATTATGTGATAATTTTAAGAATTTCAAATTTCAGCATCTATAATAAAGTTTTATTGGAACATAGCCACACTTGTTCATTTACGTATTGTCTGTAGCTCCTTTCACATTACAACAGTAGAGTTAAGTAGTTGCAACAGTCAGTATGACCCATAAAGTCTAAAATATCTGGCCTGTTAAAGAAAAAGTTTGAAGACTCCTACTCTAGATCGTGGCTTTGGTCCCAAATTGCAGGCTTGTTCCTCTAGCAGATAGCAAAAATTTTCATTAGGCTAACACAAGTAATTTTTGTGAAATATGCCAAACTATTGTCATGCTTAGTCAAAAATTAAAGCCAAGAACAAAAGCAAAAGGCAATGGCATTTTAGAAAGCCTAATATAAGTACTTCTGGTGCCAGAATAATTCCTAAACTTAATAGGAACTCCATGAATATTTGACTAAAAATGAATCACAGTGGACAACTTAAAATAAATCTCTTAAGGCATTGTGGTCCCCAAACAAAGAAGGGATTTAATCTATATTTTTATGTCTCTGAGTAGTTCTATGATTAAATAGTATGAATGACAATAAATAACCTAATTCTTATTGAGCATATACTGTTCTTCTAAGTATCATCTTGGGCCTTTAAACTTCTCTTATCTCCATTCTATCAACAAAATAACATATTTAGAGAGATTGGACTGAATGTTATCAGTCTCTGAATTCCTTAAAAACAGATGTTATATCTTCTCCCCATCTTACCTTCCCATTCCATGCCTAGCTTATTACTTGATAAATAAATGAATGAATATTAAATAACTTACTCAAAGTAACACTACTAGTGTGATAGAGCCAGGATTCAAACCAAATTTGGTTCTATATAATTCCAAGACTCACATGTTCTTTATTTTTTCTCTATGTGATATGCTATATGCCCTACATCAACTAAATGAATTATACAAAAATATTTCAAAATTTTACTGTTTGTAAATAAAATTCAATATCTCCCATAAATTGCCTTTATGTTTTCATTTCACAAACCAGAAATCTTAAAGAAAGCCATCTACGTGGGAGGTAAACTGACATACCAGTAATTCAAGGTACATACTTCATTAGTTTAGTTTCATTGTCAAAATTACCAAACTCAAACAATAACCAATCTGCTATATTTCTAGAACTAAAAATCACCAAATTAAGAATTCTAAGTTCACCCCTCCACCAGAAATGATGGTTCAGTTGTGAGGCAACACTCTAGTAAGGCATGGGAAAAGTTACTGGATTTGGTTTGTTTTTAATAAAAGTTGAAATAAAAAAAGAAAAAAAAGAATTCTAAGTTCACACTTTTATAAAGCCAGATTTATCTTAAAACAAAGATCCCCAAATAATAATTTGTTCATATCGTTCCTAACTTAATCTATTTAAAAATATATAATTTAAGGTCAAGAAACAATTTTTCAGAATAGTTTAAGGTTATGCTAATTTTTCAGCATGGCAGGATCCCATTTGAATGCCATCTTAAATCTTAACTAGCTACTTCTGAATAAGAAAAAAACCACACAAAATATTATTTAATATAATTCTGAAACAGTTATATTTGAAACTGTATTTTCTAGCTAGAAAACTAAAGAAAGTGTATGTTCTAAATTGTTCCATATCATTTTCTAAAGTATGTATGTTTCTTGGTATATATACCAAGGAACACTGGTTCAATGATAGGTTGGGAAAGCTACATTTTAAGTGGGGATAATAAAGGTGCAGTTCAACTGAGACAAATAAAGTTAGTATTTTTACTTCAAAGTTTCTCAGAATCATTAAAATGATTACAAGCACTGGCTATCTCCAAAAGAGGGATGAGATAGATATGTACAAATTCTTAAAACTTATTAGCGATAACATTAATTAAATACTTCACTAGTTATATATACACTTTGTGATATTTAAGGGTTTTTGCTTTATTTTTTAAAGATGTTTTCCTCAGAAGTAAAATTTCCCACTATGGGGATGTGGGACAGCCCTTTGAGGAAAATGTCATTCCATTTAAACAAACAAAAAAAATCAAACAAATGCATTATGATTACAGTAAAGATGAAAAGGCAACAGGTTTACCTCCTATAAACCAAGAAGAATTCGAGAAGCAACAGAAAAAGGGTGATCGGCTAAAATTCATTTTAAGACTGTAATATATAGGTAAGAACTTGAGAATAGGTAATAAAAAATTGAAAAACTGTTTAACAAAGTAAAAGATAAGAATGGGAAACCTAGATGTATTTAAATTAGCCTATAAAGTGAATGTTTCCATCATATGCACACCTTTTGTCCTTTCCTGAGAACCTTAATTTTTTCACCCATGTCCTGATGTGCTGGTGCTGACCTTTAACTTTGTTTATCTCATAGACTATGTGGACTCTTAGGGTTATTCTGTCAGCACAAATGAACCATAATTTCCTAAAAAGCAAGTACCATGGGTTTCTAAAGGAATAGACCAAGAACAAAACACTGAGTCCATTATTTACTATAACCATTGGCATGTTATTAATCCAAGAATCCATTTTCTCATCAGTGTAAAAACATGATAATATAGGCATAGGAGGGCTGTGAGGATTAAATGAGAAACATACCAGAAACATACTTACTACAGCATCTGCAATATAGTGGGTAATCAATAACGTCAGTGAGTACCCAATCAATTCTCTTATTTGAATGGCTACCCTGCTATCACTCCAAATATCCATGCACTTTTATGTTTCAAAACTTCCGTCTTGTGTTACATGTTCAGTGATTAGCAGTTTCTGCTCTAATAGCTTACAAATAACTTGCAGGGCTTGCAAAACAGATGATATTTTCTCTTTAAGGTCAACTATATTCTAGACTAGAAGCCACTGCAGTCTAGGCCTCATCATCAACCCTCAGGCAAATATGCACTAAATAGTTTTAGTTTTGAATTTAAATAATCTTAACAACATTTATATTAAAAACAAAACAAAAACCCTTAACAAAGCCTACTACTGCCAATTCTCTGGAGTGACTCATTTGTATACAAACCTATCTGGGGATTTAGAACCTGGGGCAGGGGGTAAGGAGAGGTGGACAGGCAGAAACTCACTAAATATTTAATCTCTAAGATGGCTCATCACTGATAGAAAGTTCAGAATAATATCAGCGATCTCCAAACTGCATTCCAGAAATATCTTAGGGGAGAGGAGGTTGTGTGCAGAAGTTATTAAAGGAGAGGGGGAAGAGAAGGAAAAAGTGAGTGGCAAGCTATGTTTCTAGCCTACCAGAGACACATCTTACACAATGTTGCTCTACCTGTCTCTGCAACCATGACATCTCTTATTTTAATACTGGGATTCTATATGAGATCCCCTTTGAAGAAATAGTTTGGTGACATAAGAAAGGTCTGAAAAACTACTGATCGTGACTAATGACTTCCTTGAGTAAATCCAAAGGACATCAACTAGGCCACCTATGTATTTGCATAAAGTAGAAAATTAGCAAATATCAAATATTTTATATAGACATTTTTAAGCTTAATTATATGTTGTCATTTCTTTTTTTCTTCTTTATTTTTTCTCAACTATCCCACTATAAATAGACCATAATAAGAATTAATATGGAAGGCAAAATAATAGAATTTGGTTTTATAGTGAAGATGGAAAGAATAGAGTAATTAATTATAAAAGGTCAAAGAACATAAGATGGAATAGTGGTTAGGAAAAAATGAAGAAAGGAGAAACTAGTACTCTTTAAATCAATTTAGCTGTGTAAATGTTAGACTTGCAATCATACCAAAACCTGAATAACCGCTCTGGCATTTAAATATTCTAAGATATTAGTGTCAATTTACACAGTATTTTCTAGCAGTTGAAAATCTGTTCAAAAAACACAAAGATAATTTAAAGGACTTAAGAGAGGATAGTGATATAATTAACTAATGCTCCCAATTTTATCTGGAACTCAGGTCAGTGATTATTAAACAAGGTTTTTGTATCTATCTGATCATGCAGCTTCTTGGTTATCTTAATAAAAATGTGTCTTTCTTCAATGCAAATAAGGCCAAATATAAAAAAAAAAAAAAGAAT